CACTTAAGCTTGTTAAACATGCCTCCACTCTTAAGGGAATATTTTCCACAGGATTTTGGAACCGGGCTACAGGGATTTTCTCCCATTCAATGACAAGCAGGTTACTGATGTTGGGCAATAGGTTTCTTCCAGAGATGTTGTATGAGGTTGAGGTCAGTGCTCTGTGCAGTCAAGTTCTTACACAGCAGATGGGGAGAGCTTTTTTTTTTAATGGACCTGGCTTTGTGCACAGGAGTACTGCCAAGTTGAGACAGGAAGGTTGCCACAAAGTTGGAGGCGAGCTATTATCTAATTAATCACTCTAGTATTAGGATTTCCATTCCTTGGACACTAAAGAGCCCAAACCATGCCTCAGACCAAAAATATGTGGGCAGGTTGTCTGCATTTTTTGGCCAATACTCTATTTAACACAATTAGAAGAGATTTAATATAATATTAGAAGATTGGGTTTCAGGAGTCTGTGGGTTAGTAAACTGACATAGCACACGTGCATGATCATGAATGTTTTTAAAGCAGGTAAAGAAAAAAAAGGACTTATTTTCTGACAGGACTATTGGGGAATCATTATTGGGACCTGTAAAATAGCTCTGGATGTTCATCAGGCTGCAGCTATGCATACTGACAGACTGAACCACTTGATACCCTCATGGTCTTTCATTCACTGATAGATTGGGGTGGATAGATTCACATTGAAGAGTTTTGTGTTGTTAGCATACAAAGGCATGAGAACCCACATACACACTTTGAATATACACATTGTCCTTGTTTCCTTGAGTCTGCTACTCCAGAGCTGTTAGAAAAACAGTGAGTGTAAACTTTGTCTTGGCACATGATGTGAAGGCTCAGAGAGTTACTTGCTGACATTATTAGTTTTGTCTGACAAGATAACCACTGAGATGCGTGCTATGCAGCATCTGCTCTGTAGATTGTCTTTAATGGAGTTGTATTTTCAACTTAATGGCCCATGGAGCCCTTAGCTGTAATGTTTGATGTCACTGTCTCAACGGTATTGACTCTTGACACTGGTTTGAGCTCTCATTTGAGACTGGTGTTGTGATATTTAAGACCATGTTAATGATATTGAAGGATTGATGATTTACAAAGTGTAGTCTGTCAGCTGAATTCTCTAACCATCTTCCCAGGTCCATTGGTGGCCTGTACTATGCTGTACTAGGATACAGAAGGCCCCTGGTTTGATATACAGACAGGCAGGATAAATCTGAGTCAGTCTTACCACACTGCAACCACTTATGTACCCCTGAGCAAAGCCTTTAAGCCCCAGTTACTTCAGTTGTGCTGCCAGCAGATCAGACTGGGAGTTGTACAGAGCAGTTTCCAGTTGTGAATATTGTAACTGTGTGAGTTGAGGTCTTTCTTGCAAAAGAGAGCTTCACTCTCAGTGAAACCTCCCTTAAAGGTTAAAAAAGTAATAAAACATAGTATATAATATCATATACCAATATAATTGGGTGAAATAAAATATTGAACCTTAAATTGGTTCCCCCAATTGTTTAGCAATTATTATTCAGACAAGTGTATTGTGCTGTGTATGGGGCAGGTTCTCCAGTCCCTTGGAACAGGTGTGCCATTAGGCCTAGCTGTAGGGACTGAGTCTGCAGTTCACTAATACACTAATACACAGTATTTAACCATACATGCATATATGCTGCTTACACCACAGGATTCTTGAAGCAGTTCTGTTGTCTGTTAATTTCATTTTTATAACCCTGAGACAAGTACATTAAATACATAATGTAGAAAGCAAGACACACATTTGAGCAAAAAGGGGGAGATTTGCCTAAAATATAATGTCAAATAGAGTATGTCTCCCTCTGGTAAAAACTTGAAGTGTTGGATAACTATCGGCTCCTGACTGACTGGCCAACATGTCATAGTACGCTAAGTACGACATGGGCTGGTGTTCATAGAGATATCATGCTCGTGGCAGTCTTAGGTGTCGGTGTTGATCAGAGGAGATCCAGTGTCAGTTTATCGGTCACGGCTAGCTGCCTGACTGTGTCATGGGATGGAGAATGGACTTTTGTTTTCAGTATACTCAGCCAGCTCTCCAAAAGGGCAGGGTTTCACTGGAGATACAGTATTTAAGATTTAATTAAGGCTATTGTTCTAATATTCCAAATATGATGAATGAAAGCCAGGTTCAACAGATTATTTTTGGGTTGTGCTTGGACATGCAATTCTTTCTGATAATATAATCACAGCATGCTCAATTGATTTTTGCCTTACCAAATCCCCGTAACCACATATTGAACCTGAGATTTCTTTTGTAATAACTGTACTAAATCACACAGTGTGTATCACATCATTTCACTCTTTATTTGATACAAACCCTACTTCTAACTTACTGTACTTTTCCAATGGCAACTTTTGTTTAGCCCTAAAAGCCTCAAAGAATCTGTTTTTGCAGTCATAACGTTTAAGGTTACCAAGCAGCTGTACACCGAATAATAGATAATGGTTTTCAAATCTTCGCTACAAATTCACTAATATGCTGAATTGGATGTTTAATCTATTTTCCACATTAAAAAAACTAAAATGCATTCATTTAAACAATGCTTTTGTGATTTTCTGTGCAGTGCATTATTAAACAAGAAATAAAATATTTGTTCAACAAATTCAAACACTAAAGTGTATATGAATTAAAATAATTTTTACAGTATATTAATAAAACATACCATACTAATGTAAAGAGCAGTATGCATGACTGCTACTGAAAAATAAATTCGAGTAGGCCTATGTTTAAACAACCTCCAACACATTTACTCTGAGCCTATGTACTTAACTTGCATGTAAATGGTTTTACTTGTAAAGCGCTTTTCTGTGCACTGCAGCACACTCAAAGCGCTTTCACATTATTTGGCCATTCAGTCATTCGCACTCCCAAGCATGCACACATTCACATCACCAGGAGCAACTGGGGGTTCAGTGTCAAGGACACTTCAACATGTGAACGGGACAAGCCAGGAATCAAACCACTAATATTCTGGTTAGCAGACGACCCGCTCTGCCTCCTGAGCCACAGCTGACCCCCATGTGACATCAGTGTTTCTGCACACACCTTTATACTTAATTTAGCTTATTGCCTTTAATGTAACCTGATGGATTTAATGTTGCGGTGGACAGAGCCAGCATGGGAAAAATGTAACGCTGGCCATGACTGGCATGTCAGAACACACGGTGCATCACAGCTAGCTGCATATGGGGCTGCGTAGCTGCAGACCGTTCAATGCTAATGCTCATTGCCCATCCCTAGTTTTTATGTAAAAAGCAATTTCTTCACAGATGTTCCATAACAGATAAATAATAGGTTCTCCTTTCTCTTAATGGCAAAAGAAGTTTCTTTTACAATGCTGTGCTGTAGTTCACCTGTATATAGTAAATATGTATTTTAAAAGCTCTCTGCTCTACTCTGGAAAAAGTCTCTGAGCATGCCCGCTCCTGTTTCCCTGTTCCCCTTATGGCTCTCAGCTCTACTTTAGTGCACTCCATTTTACCACATTAGGGTCATCAAATAAAATTTACAGCTACTTGGTCACTTCCTCTTAAAGGTCTCTCTCACTGCACCACTGTTCCCTGAGGCCTAATATTTTTATCTATGTGTGTGTGTAATGCAACGCTATGCAACAAGCCAGGACAAAATGGCTCATAGTGTTTTGCATGTTGTTAGTGTTTGATGGCTACCACGTAACCTTCAACTGCTGTCCTCGTTTTGAAATAATTGAAGTGGCTGAGACTTTGTGACAGTCAATAAAAATAACCACATTTTGACAGCTGATGTTCTCAACCAAACTAATTTACAATGGGAACAATTATAGAACTGACTTATTATTAATCAGTTTTATTCCTATGGTAAAGACTTGAGAGCGACTGCTGTACATGGAAACACTGTCTGCCATAATGTGAAGGGTCAGTGATAGGTTTTGCATCGGAGAAGTCTGATCCCGAAGCTGTCCATTGTGCCAGAAAAGGGAATGATACTCTAAGAAGGGCTGAATTAAGGCCTGAAATTTTGCCATTTTCTAACTGCAGAAGGTGTCTAAAACAAACTTTGATCTCACCTGCTGCCAGGTGGGTGATGAGGCTGAGGACGGTTGGATGGGAGGAGGTGTCAGTAGTTCATATTATAGTCAGAAATGTTTTTGTAGCTCGAGAGAAGAGAGGTTTGTCATTCTCTACAACAAAACAGCAGTGGTGTTCCAACCACACTGTAACACAGCTGAAATTTCAGTGTGATACCTGATCTATGGCTATTAAAGTCAAAGATACAACGAGGCTCCAGCTTTTTGGAGGGTTAGGCGCTCACACTAAACATAGACTAACTGGTTTGGTTGCATTAGGAGACTCATTGCAAACCACTGAAATGTTAATTAGTGACAGTACATTCAAGTGTTTTGGAAAGAAATGAGACATAATCTCTAGTAGTGTGCAAGTTTGGATGGCAGATGGGTCAGGCCTAGCTGTCGTGAAGAGCTGAAAAATGATTCGACCCAGAGGGAGATGAAATGATTCCAGATGTCAGTGAAGAGTTCCTGACAGACTTCAAGAAGGGAAGAAAGCCTGCAGCTGTGGTTTTTCTGAGGGTTATGAGTTGCTTTAGGAGACAAATTATGTGTCGTAAACATGAGCAGTATCAATACAACAACACAATTTCTTGTTTGTGTGTATGGATGGAATGGGAATGCTTATTATACCTTATATCATCACTGATTCTTTGGTCTCATCTCTTATTTTGGGTTGTTTGTGCCTCACTCTTCTGCAGATACAAAGTCTCAGTCCAATACTATTCATTCACTGTTGATTTGTCTGTTGATCTTGTTAGGAAATCACAACAAAGTCATCACAAAAAAAAAACCACACAATAAAACATCTATACCCCATCTAGTTAATGACATCAAAACGCATTACAAACCAGATAAACCACTATAGTAACAACTTAAAACTGGTGGTTGAGCTCCAATTCTTATTTTGCTTCTTAACAGAATGTGTTCCTGCACAAAGATGGTTCTCCAGGGGATGGGACTGTGCCTTCAGGACCCAGTTGGAAAGGTTCAGTGGTTCGTGGGGAAGTCTTTTTGGTGGACGAGGACACTGACTTGTTGGATTCAGTTTTCCCAAATGGCGGACAAGTGAACCCTCAATGGAAGTCCCCCAGAAATGGACTTATAGGAAACCAGAAGGGGAAGCCTGAAGTGTCCTTCAAACATTTGGATGAGAATATTACCACAGAGAAGAAGACAGATTCAAGTGAAAGGGCTTCACTGTTGTTCCACAGAAAACCTTCCGATGACATCATTGAGCTGGACACTGAAAATACCCCTAAGAAGTTCTCAGTGGGATTTGCTCTACTTCCTAAGAGCTCACCAGAACCCCAAATATCCACAGACTCCAACAAACTAAGGGAGGAGACAGATGAACAGACCAGGACTGTCTCACCTACACCCTATATCATCACCCCTGGCCCATCTGGAAAGGAAGTAGATGGGGAAAGGGGGGGCATATCTAGACAGAGCACCACTGGCTATGACAAGGAGCATCCTAGAATTGTGACCATTGTATACAGAGATGGAGATCTTGTCTGGGGCTCAGATGGTAAAATCTACCAGCTACAGAGAGGACCACCAGGCCGAATGGGTCCTCCAGGGCCGGAAGTGAGTGATCTTATGATCCCCTAGCTGCACTAATGCCCTTGTTTTAATTCTGTTATATTTATCAAAGTGTGCTACAGAGTCAGAAGTCTTGTAAACTGCTCAATGACAAATTATGGTAGTATTTTTATTATTATTGCAGTCTTGTGTTTGTGGAAGGCCAAGACTTCTTTCACGATGATTTAACAGCAGATTTGGTGTATTATATCAGCAATATCTGTTATTGGATGAGAGAGTCTGTTTATGCTTTACAGTTTACAAGAGCTGTTCTCCATCAGCTGCCATCTGAATCTGATCAGGAAAGGTTATGCTGCTCAAACATATGCTGATCCACATGTCTTTGATCTAGCACTCAAAGAAGTGCATGTTTTAGGAGTGTGAATAGTTTGACGTGGTGTTCCTCATTATGTCTTAAATTAATGTATCTGATATTTGATCGGTGTCATGGGGTAAAGTCTATTCCTACAATCCAGTCAGGGTGTAAGAAGTGGATCATCACAGGGCCTGCAGAGCAAACAGAACCAGAACCAGACTGCACATCTGGCCATGTCTAGGCCAGTCTCTGAAGTTGCCCTGCCAAAAGATCTAGAGGTTCACTAAGCACTATTACTATGATTGGAGCCGGCTGTAAGGAACATGAAGGACGTCCTTTTGGGTACTCTCCTCATGTACAGAATCTCAGATCATCCTTGTTTAGATTGTTGTAGTATTTGTTAGCCTGCAGCATTAGCTTCAAGTATTGTGTTAAACTTGGTTTATTTTTATTTAAAAACATGGTACTTCTGATTGGCTAGCAGGTATATTAAAACCAGATGCCTCAAACAAAGATCTGATCAACAGTTTAACTACTGCTAAATCAATAAAAACTCTAAATCAGTCCGCTCTGCTCCACTCAGCACTCCCTCTCCATGCTCTACTATGATCTGCTACACTACGCCTCGCTCTGCCCAGCTCCTCAGATATTTATTATGATATTACAATAAATGAGAATGCAACAAAACTTACTGATCAAGCAGAAATATTGAAAATCTCTGATTGGTTAGAGAGATAAATCCCACTCAACAACTGAGAAGCTAATGTCTCTGTGCTGCTGCCAGTGCTGCTCAATGAGTCCGGGTCACAGGAGGCTTCGACAGCACCTCTACACATTATGCTTCACAAGTTTTTGAGCATATTTCTAAAACAAAAATATTAGAAAAAAGCTACATACTGTAATTATAATAAATAATATTCTGTGTCTTGGAGGATGCTTTTTTTCTTATAGTGTTGTGAGCTGTTTTATTGAGGGCTGCTACTGTTTTCACAGGGCTGTCCTGGTGAGCCTGGCCTGCCCGGGTTTAAAGGTGATAAGGTAAAAGAGCCTTGTTAAACAGCCTATGATAAGGTGTTAAATTAGTCCACTTGACTTAAGATTTAAGTGACGTTCTGTTCTGTGCACCTCTGAAACAACATCCAGGCCCATAATTTGCTTTAATTTCCCTTTAGACATTTTAATACCTATAGCTATAAACTGCTGTTCCCTCTTCCATTATGTCTGCGGGTCTTTTATTTATGTCAGAGCTCTAATGCTGCCTCAGATAACTTCGGTGATGTAATATTATGAAAGCAAGGCTGGCAAAATTTGATTTGTCTTACACAAATGTGCCATTTACATTATGCCTTCCACAGGGTAAGATGGGCCCTGAAGGAAGTCCAGGACAAAGGGGGGAACCAGGACCTCCTGGACCAGCAGGTTTGCCAACACTCTACCTGTGGAGGAACACCGCTGAGGAATGGGCTGCCTTCCAGGTATGATGTAACCACAATGTACTCATTCTATTTAGTTCAGTATTTGCACTTTGTTGGAAATAATTTCTTATCTCCTGTCGACTGGTGGCAGTGTAGGCCATTAGTCAGACATTTGGCTTTCACTTATACATTTGAAATGCTCTCAGACATATGTGAAATACATGATACTGAAGGTCCTCTCTTATACTACTGAAAATACTCATACTATGAGATGGATATCAGTTGTATAAGAGTGCATTGTCAGTTGTATATGTGAAATAATTTTTCAGGATAATATAAAAGACATATCAGTAGTGCATGTGTGAGTAAGGGCAGCACGGTGGCACAGTGGTTAGCACCGTTGCCTCACAGCGCGAAGGTTCCAGGTTCGGGCCCCACCTAGGACCTTTCTGTGTGGAGTTTGCATGTTCTCCCCGTGCTTGCGTGGGTTCTCTCCGGGTACTCCGGCTTCCTCCCACAGTCCAAAGACATGCAGCTTAGGTTGATTGGTGTCTCTAAATTGCCCATAGGAGTGCATGTGCGTGTGTGGTTGTTTGTCTATGTGTTAGCCCTGCGATGGATTGGCGACCTGTCCAGGGTGTACCCCGCCTTCGCCCGATTGCCGGCCGGGATTGGCTCCGGCCCCACCCGTGACCCCGCTCAGGGATTAAGTGGTAGAAAATGAATGAATGAATGTGTGAGTAATTTCAGTAGTATATGAGACAGTCGTCACTTGACAAAGAAGTCATTGTAGTCTGAGGTTGTCTTTGTGGAGTTTCTAAGTCTCTTTGGTACTTTCAGAAGTGAACTAATTTTTAGATTCCTACTGGCAGCTTATACTCAGCATGAACTGCATATTACCAGTCAAGCATATGGGTAAACTGTGGACAAAGCTCCTGTTCTATACCATAATGTCTCTCTCATGTAACCTGTGTCTGACACATGAAAAAATAATTATGGAGCTGTCCCATCAGAGGGACAGCTCGGGTCGGCTGTTTTAGGCACAAGGTCAGAGAGGCCAGATTGAGGTGGTTTGGACATGTGCAGAGGAGGGATAGTGGTTATATTGGTAGAAGGATGTTGGAGATGGAACTGCCAGGCAAGAGGTCAAGAGGAAGGCCAAAGAGGAGATATATGGATGTGCTAAAAAAGGACATGAAGTTAATTGGTGTGAGAGTAGAGGATGCTGAGGATAGAGTTAGGTGGAAACAGATGATTCGCTGTAGCGACCCCTAACGGGAACAGCCGCAAGAAGAAGAAGAAAAAGAAGATGGTTAAGTTTATGGTTTAGTGATTAGCCTACATATTTGGTATCATTACCGATCAACAGCAGGTGGGCACTGAGATCACACATAAAACTGCAGAAGCTCTCTCATCACTGAAAGAAGTTACCAGCCATACACATTTTTGTAATTCTGAGCAACACACAGCTGTGTCACAGTTGTGATGCAAAATCTTTAAAAAGACGGTTAGCACCCAAGCAGACTGTTTCTCCCGTGGTTTTTGTGCTAAGCTAGGCAAAATGCACACTAGACTGATCGCATTACTGAACGGAGCAACATGAAACTGATGTATATCTTTTCACTGTGGTCAGCTAGCACATTTGACAATGTTCCTGTAAACATCTGAACCAGCTGGAAGTCCTCAGAGATGATGATGAAAAACCTTGACCCTGCAGTTATTGTGTATCCAGCCTGATGCTCTGTCCTGTTCTGTTTCATCTCTGTGCAGTGGCCACAGCTGTCTGTCATACTGTACCAGTATGTCAGCATGATGGAGAATTGCAAAGCTGTTATTGAAAAAAGTCTGGTAGTACTCTCATTTATGAAGATAACTGTGTGCTTTGAACTTCATGTGAACAGACTGCAGAATGAGAGTCCTATAGGTTTTTAACAGCCAAAACTATAGAGTGTGAAAGATGATAATGGATTCATTAAAAATCATGTTTTCCTAAACATTGATATACACTCTTTATTTCCTTTTGTTTAATTTTCTGTATTTTTATTTCTTGGTCTGTAACTCCTGTGTTTCAATTCCTCCCATAGCAGACCAGTTTCTACCAGTTACTTCATGCTGGATGGCCTGTAAGTATGCTGTGATGATTAATATTCAGGGATTTACTGTAGTTGTTTTGTTAGTTCCCACTGACTTGAGGCTGGTATCTTCTTTGCGAGCTTGCAGAGTAAAGAAGGGCCTGCAGGGTCACCTGGAGAGATAGGCAAGCCCGGCATACAGGTCAGAGATGGGCTCACTGCACAGTTATGACAAGTTGTGAACCAGAAAACATAACACATTTTCAAAAATTCTGTGTTGAATATGGTGAACAGTATTTTTTCCTGATCTTCTTTGGCAGGGGCCACCTGGTGAACCTGGGGAGCGTGGACAACCAGGGATGCCAGGAGAGATGGTAACTGTCATCACTTACTGTCCACAAATAATGACAAAACACATTTATATAGTGTTATTTTTAGTATTATATAGTGTGTGAGAGAATGTCGAGTGTTGTCTTTGTGTTTTATCACTGTGTAGCCATGCCAGTGAGACCACTCTTTTGTTTCTACAGCAGGGGTTCCCAAACCTTTTCAGCCTGAGACCCAAAAGAGAAATGTGGTCTCTCTCCAGGACCCAAACTTGTAAAAATCATTAATTGCTACAACATCTGCAACTGTAAACTGCCAATAACAATCACAACAAATCCTGAATTCAAAATGTAGCCTATATAAAATGTGTATTTCATTACAGCAACAATGAAATTGCTGAGAGTACAGTAATGTTAAATATCACACCACCTTATAACACTGACTTGTATGAAATAAGCTTAACCCTCCTGTTTTGTTGCGGGTCAAATTGACCCACGAACATAACTGCTGAGCAGGCATCACCTGAGAAATGAACATAACAAGAGGGTTCCCTCCTGTTATGTTCATTTCTTCATATCAAATATTTGTCTCATTTAAAGCAGGTGGGTCAATTTGACCCACAACATAACAGGAGGGTTAATGTGGACTGTCATCAAATTCTATTCATTACATTCAGTAGTGGTCTAACTGTACAATAGGCAACTATAAGCTACTATATAGGCTGTAAAGCGGTTTGGGAGAAAAACCTATCGGCCCACCGGAAAAATCCATGAACTTTGATGCCTGCCGAGATGAGGTTGAGAAAAGACAGAGGGGGAGAGAGAGAGCCTTGCGCACAGTATCTGAGCTGAACAGATCTATATGGAAAAATGAGTGATTTTCTTCTATTTTGATTGGGGAAATGAATTAACATATCATAGCATTATTAAAACAGGTCAAGGACCTGTTTTGGGTCATGACCCTAAGTTTGGGAAAGGCTGTTCTACAGGAATAGTGGTGATCTTGTCTGTGATGCCACCTCATTCTCTGTCAGCATTGATTTCTACATGTATGCATGGATGTGTTTTTTCGCTGTGGGATGTCTGTGTGGTGCAGAGCAAGTGTTTTCCAAACGGAGGCTCTGGACTCCCCACAAAGGGTCATAAGATAAATTTCAAAATTACATTTATTTTGTTCATAGCTTTCCCCTTATATTTGCTGGATAACATTATGATTCTCTGTGTGACGCCACAAGCTATTAACAACTTGCTGATATATGCAACCTGTGACAACTGGACACAAACAGACAGGGCTTTGTTTTAAAGGTCACATTCCAGAAGGGCTGAGAACCACTAGTCTGGACAAATCTGCTCTGAAATGTGCAGCCGCCAGTTCGATCCCCAGACCGGCAGGACCAGTCTGGGTGGGGGAGGTGGTGTGAAACTCTGTTTCATGTCACTGTGAATTGAATATTTTTGAGTGTTGAACATCTGGTTGGACAAAACAAGCTATTTGAATTTGTAATTTTTTTTTATTGACTGATGAATCAATTGTTCACTAATGAGATCATTTTTAGCTGTGTGTGTGTGTGTGTGTGTGTGTGTGTGTGTGTGTGTGTGTGTGTGTAAATGCATGAGAGTGTAGTATTAAAAACCAATGCATTGCTTGTAGTGGTTTGAAAAAAGAAACTAATTTATCATGCCCCCACCCACTACCACAAAAACTGAGGAGCTCCAGTCAGTCTTGCAACACAAGCTCTTAAAAATCTGACATGCATTTCAAATAGAACACATTTGAGTTGAATTTAGAATTTTTCACTGCTGGCCCCCAAATCCAAACATTTTCTGCAGGTTGGGCTGAGAACACTATATCCTTCATCAGCAGCAGCTTGAAAGATAACCTTGTCAGTAGCAGGACAGGTGGTTTAGCCATTCACTGTGAATCTCTGTGTATGTTTTCCACCTGTCTTTAGGCAGAGTTACTGCAGACCACATTCTTCTAGACAGCATGTTGTTATTCAGGTGATCTTCACAGTATAGGCTTATAATTTTTGATATATAGTAACAATCCTAGTTTCATGTTCATGGTCCCTGGTTCCTGTTCATGTCGACTAGCAGGCTAATAGGGAAGCAGCTGGTATCACCAGTGGCCAATCTCTGATGATTAATGTGCCTGGCAGGGTGAGCAGGGTGCCAGGGGCCCTCCAGGACGAGGTGGGGCCCCAGGGAGAGATGGAGAAAATGGAGAAGATGGTCAGCCCGGCTCACCTGGTGCTCCTGGATCACAGGTGGGTTCTTTCCACTTATTAGTTGTAAACAGTTAAATGGCACACAGAACACTGTCTAGTAGGAGTGTGTTATAAGTGGTAAATGGTGTTTTTCTTTTTCCCCATCGGTTGAAATATTTCTATCTTGTCCTAACTGACATCAGGGCCCCTGGGGATACAGGGGAGAGCGAGGGTCCAAAGGAGAAGAAGGTGAAGAGGTGAGACATATAACAGCAGCCAGTTGCTAACTTTGGCAACCTGTTGATTAGTGCTGTGCAGATGGTGTTTGCAGGCTGAAAACTAAAGAAAAGAAAGAGCTGAAAGATGCTACAGCTCTCTGTAGAACTGATGTGAACTATTGTGAGACAACTGACACAAAACCACCATTCACATACATGCAACTATGTGATCTGTTGGTAGTGCAGAAATATTGATCATAGTTGTTTTAAACCTGGATTTGATGAGGTCCTTGTAGCATAAACATTGTTGTAGGATTTGAAAAATGTTTTTACATAATTTCAGTTTAAAAGCGGTCACTCAGTATGTGAAATTGATTGATGCTCATGTATGCAGGATGAGACAACAAAGAAATTACTTTACCACTGCAGACAATCATTTTTCTCTGCCTCCCCAGGGTCTTATTGGCCTCAGGGGTCCACAAGGGGAAATTGGTGAACCTGGTGAGAAGGTACTCTGACAGATTCTATGATCATATTTATCCAAAGAATTTAAATTTGTATTAGTATTTTTTGTGCCTGTGTTACTGCCACAGTGGTTCAACATTAATGAAAGACCTCTGGTGCTCTGTGGTGTTGTTGAAGTATGAAGATGTATGTCTTTTCTAACAGTACAGTGCTGTAATGGTGAGGTAGTGTGTTCTGTTCTTGTCTAGGGCTCAGATGGTTTACCTGGCCCACCTGGTGTCATCGGACCTCCAGTGAGTCTCTCTCCTATTAATGCATCTTAAGGTTTTGTTTGTATGTGCAACAAACCAGGATTTCACATTACGTTCAACCCCTTTGTAAAGAAAGCAGGTCGTTAATGAGCCACAAGCGTTTCTTCTTTATCTGCAGCTTAAAGCCGCTTATACAATAAGAAGATTTCATGTACTGTCTGCTGGATAAGATAAGATGCCAACATGTTACAGGGTCAATTTACAAACAACAGGAATGAGACTAACAGTCGTCCTTGTGTGAAACATCCTTACACATCCATCTGGTGTAAAATAAGAGGAACAAAACAAACTAAGCTTTTATAAAAGTGAGGCACGTGTTTCTGAATCCATTTTAATCCCTGACCCAGTCCCTCTTTGAAATGAGTAGTGACGCAGTGTCTTACTGTTTTGTTTCTTCAGTCCTTATTGTGGTTTATTTTTGGTCTGCTTGGCATGAAATCAGAATCTCTGCCTCACAATATTAGCACTCTGGCCAGTAGTTGCTAATCTGAACGATTAATCCTCACTGTGAAAGTAGTTTATTGTATTATAACGATACATTGTTAATAGGGTGACATGGGTGACTTGACTCTTCTCTGCAGGGGCCTCAGGGGGTCCGAGGTGGCTACGGGCCAGAGGGGCCATGCGGGCCTGATGTGAGTGGTGTCCTATCAAACTGCTTGCTTGAGAAATTGGTCTTAAGCATTTGAATAACACTGTCACATTTTTGGCACTTTGCTGTTACTTTTCTGCTTCACTGTTTCATGGTGTGGTGATCTTGACATTTAAAAAAGAACAATATATCAGAGGCCTTAAACCAGCGTCATCATTTGACCATAGAAGATCTTGACTTGGCCACCTGATGGACAATGACGAGATGTAGGACAGTGTATCATTCATGCTGTTATGTACTTGTTAACAGGGGCCGAGCGGACTGCACGGCCTCCCTGGTCTGCCAGGGCCAATGGTAAGTAGACGCATTAATTAGACAAATCATTTGTCTCCGTGCCAAGTGTGACATTTGTGTTTGTCTCACAGGGTGCAGCAGGTGTTACAGGACGAGTTGGAGCACAAGGGGTTAATGGCTCAAGGGTAGGTTTACACTACAATAAGTATTTATAATAGTAGGTCGAAAGTTAAAGCTGGCTTTCCTCTTTTCTAGATAATTGATTAAATGCTGTAAAATATTGCTTGTTCTGTCCAACCAATGATACAGAAACTGAAAATGTTCTGTTTCCAGTAGAAGCCAGCAAATGTTAGTGTTTCAGAAGCTGAAACCAGAGAATGTATAGCATTTGTACTTGATGATTTTGGGTAACATCCTTTGTGTGTCAATCATTTATTATTTCTTTTAGGGGGACACGGGCCCTGCTGGCAGTGTTGGCCCCAAAGGCCCACAGGTACACATTTTAATTGGTTGTGTTTATGCGATAGGTATGGTACGCATTCAACTTGCTGGAGACTATGTTTGGCATACAATATGTTATTTTCTTTTTCTTCCACTTAGGGGCCTCCAGGTTTAGAGGGGCAGATGGGGTCTCCAGGGCACCGAGGACCCCAAGTGAGTACAGTTCAGGACAAGACTGTTACTTTTGATTTGTTTTGTTGCCGATTCATTCACTTCAGTCTGTAAAGTGCAAGACAGTGATGTCAGTATGAATCTTAACAGGGACACCCAGGACTAATTGGTGCTCCTGGACCCAAAGGAGATCCTGTAAGTTTGTTATCATCATGTGCAGTGTGTTGCATTTTTTCTTGTTTTGTTTTCCAAAGCAAACCTCAGTGACCGCTGAGGAGATTTTGTTTGAACTTGAAAGGAACTACACAAAAAAATGTGTATGTTTGGTTTATATTTCACAATAAATCAACTTCTCATACCACGTTTAGGTGTTTGCTATAAGGAATTAAATAATACATGTGTATGGTGAATCAGTTTTAGATGCACAGTCTCTGCTGTTACTCAACAGACAGGTCAGAGCTGTAAACATGTCTGGTTTTTTGGTACATCAGAATTTTGATCCAAGAACCTCTAGCACCAAGTGTCAAGATTTACCATTTGAAGTCAGTTTATTTTAGTTATATCCACTGTGGTGTTTGAAGCTGATCTATGAGGGACCAGTAAACAAATATCTATAAATGTCAGACTATAAAAAGTCAAGGGAGAGAATGAAGAAAGACAGGCGTTTATTAAGAAAGTATGATAAAGTCTGTCTTATTCTCAGATTCAGTATCATTCAACTCTTATCTATATTTAAAACCTTTGGCAGCACAGGCTTGGTTTAACTTCTGTCATAACTGTTTTATTTCCATTAAATAAAATTCAGTGTGACCTGTTTCTTGGCTGATTTCCATAGTTACTTAATGATTGATAAAAAATAAATATTTAAATAACAGACAGGGTAGGGGTTTGAAATTTCACTGTGGTTAATAGAGAAGCATGTGTAAAGGTTTAAGAATCACCATTTTAGTCCTAGTCATATTCGTTATACACTTCAGGATAATGTGCATGAGGAAGAGTACACAGCAATGCATTAGCATGTAAAAGCAGCTGATGGAGTGGATCTAACCTTCTAAAAACACACTCCAGTCTCTTATCATTTTCTCTTGTATTGTTTGCTTTCCTTTGTTTACATATTAGGGGCCTACGGGACCCATGGGTGCTCGGGGGGATCCTGGCTTTGAGGGGCCCATGGTGAGTTGCACTTGAACACCTTCTTCATGGTGTTGCACTGTTACATTACAGTGACACACATGTAGAAACTGACTGTATATGAACAGACTAGATGTATGTTAAAAGCAGTTGTGAATGTAGAGATCTGTGTCAGTTTTGTAACCAGTCCCCTAACGTTTGTCAGTGCAGCAGCTCACAGATCACACAAACAGACTGTACCATAGGATGTATTTTCAAATTGATATATAAATATCAATGTATATAACCACAACACTGGCTGACGACATGCTGCAGCTTCACACTGCCATCTACTGGTTGTACTTGATCATGACATGATTCTAAGAGACACCTAAGCCTCTTTGTTTATTATCATTCCCTGCTGCATTTCAATAGATTTATCTCTAGTTTTCAGACTGATGCACTGTAAAATAACATCTTTAGCTGCCATTTAATCTTTTATTTCTTTTCTTGATACTTTATTAGTTATTCCTTAATGATTACTTGGTCTATTGTCATGTTTCCATTTTTTAACTAAATGTGACCTTTTTGGCCTTCTATTTTTGACAGGGCACATGGGGACAACAAGGTCCTATGGGTTTTCCTGGACTAACAGTAGGTGCTCATTTCAATATATATATTTACAACAAGGCATAATTGACCAAGTGTATGTTTGACCTTTTTCTCTTTTACAGGGTAACAGGGGACGACATGGGGACAAGGGGGATCCAGGACTGAAAGGCGACAAAGTAAGAGCCAGCAGCTTTCTGTAATATCCTAGAGGAATCGTTTGACATTGTGGAAAATATATTTATTTGATTTGTTGCGCAGAGTTTCATGTAGATAAGAAGATCAATACAAGTCATTGTCTGCATGGAAACTGTGAAGGTAAAGCTGACAGCCAGTTTAGCTTATAGTGGAAACAGAGAAACAGCTAGCTTGATTCTGTGCACAGGCAACGAAATCCACATACCAGCACCTCTTAAACTGCCTTATTAACACATTATACTATGTTTGTTTAATCACGACAGAAAAAGAAAAACGTTCCTTGTATGTCTCGTAGAGGTCTCTGTGCCTCATCCTAGATACATTTCTGTTTTTCTCTCAGGGTGTTCAGGGAGCAGCAGGCATTAGGGGTCCTCAAGGAGAAAGGGGCCCCGCTGGCTTCCCAGGCTTCCCAGGGACCGAGGGCCAGCCTGGTCCCAAAGGCGCTGAGGTACACTGAACACCACTGATTAAACTGTGTTCCTTTTCCCTATATATTTCTAAACAGTCCTTTTCAGTAAACATCCCACCTGTTGTTTTAACATCTACATGTTGATGTTCCCTGGCAACAAACAAAAATCTTTTCATCATCAGAATAATAACCATCTGTGTAGACTTTTAGGCTAATATTGTGTTACACACTTTCTTAACCAGCAGAAAGAATGTGAAAATGAATTAAGCTCGACTGATTTTAGAATTCTTCATTCAGGGCACAAACGGTGAAACTGGCCCTCAGGGAAAACAGGGTCACCAAGGGCTAAAGGTCAGTGATGCATCCCGAGATCTAAACATGTCAGACTTCACGTTTTGATCCAAATGTCACATTTAACTATGAAACAGTTGTTGTTGTTGTTGTTTTCTGACATTAATGAACAACATTTTAACTGCTCTTGTTGTTTTCTGACATTAATGAACAACTTTTAAGGTGAATTTAAGACACTCCCAGAGTAACTGTTTTTATGTTTTTATACTTTTTTTGTTGTATTATTTCCTTGTAAATACGTTGGGCTTTAATTAAAATCACTTGTTACAGCTAGAGTCACTTTTGACCTCCTACTAAATGTTTAATAAGTTGTTAAAATATAACAACATGAATTATATTTTTTTTAGTCTACCTTTTAAACTTAAGGTAAAATCTTAAGAGATTTTTTATGAGATAATTAATGAGGCCAGGTATGACAGGTATTTCCAACAGAATTTTAGTAACATGTGGATGACACATCTTTCTATCTATTCCTCGTATATTTTTGAGGGGTTTCCAGATTTCTATCTTTTATTCTAAAATGAAGTGAACAGGGATGTTCAGTGGCTGCCTCTTAAAACATCCAGTGTAATTAATCACCTTTTCTGATCTATGGAATTCACCTGTTATGATATTTATTAGCAAAGATTATTTTAATGGTGATTAAAAGTAAATCTCTAGCCATTTATTTTGGTAAGTTTTCTAACATTACAACTAAGTATTAATGTCCACATCAATTCACCCATTTTAAAAACCAAGAACGTCCAATTTATTTAATTGTTGTTATGGACAAAAGTGTATCTAAATGTAGTTTGAAGAAGATGACAAGTCACAAATGAACACAATAAATACAACTGGATATTGATTCTTGCCACATTCATTAATATTTGATCCTCTTTAAAGGGGAACAGGGGACCAGATGGACGTAACGGCAGACCAGGAGACAGAGGGATCAAGGTATAATACTACTGAATATGTGTATGGTATAGCAGCAGCACAGTGGCTCAGAGGAAAATGCTCCAGAGGGTCATTAATACGGCCCAGGACATCGTCGGCTGCCCTCTCCTCACCTCTGGAAGAACTACACAGTTCCCGCTGCCTCAAAAAAGCCCAGATCATCATTAAGGACACTTCACACCCAGGACGTTCACTCTTTGAACTTGACGGTTCAGAGCAATCAAATCAAGGACCACTAGATTCAGGAATAGTCTTTACCGAACAGCAGTTACCACACTCAATGCTGCTAAAATATAATATGCCTGTGTGTGTGAGGGGGGGGCGTGAGTGGTCTGTTGTTTATTTCGTTTCTTTAGTGGTTATCTTTTTTATATGGTCTTATTTCATATGTTGTGTTTTTTTCTATTGCTGTACCGACTGGAGGTCACTCTAAAATTTCATGGTATGTGTTACAATGACAATAAAGGATTATCTTATCTATCTTATCTGAACCGTTTCAATTAAAACAAATCACAGAAACCTGTGTATACATTTTTAGATTGGGGCTGATCTATTGATTTTTTTAAACATCCAAATATCTCTATCAGTATGAAAAATCCAGTATTTGGAGTAAAGCCATCCAAGAGGAGTGGAGGCAGATTAATGCTCAAGGTTTTATAATCACAAATCTAACTAACTGTCACATGTTTGTTGTAATGTACACATACTCTATTTCTGGCCAAATGTTTGCCAGGATGGCAGAATTCACATGGAAATATTATGGATGATACAACTTATTTAATTATAACAAATAACACCTATTTTAGCAAACTCTGCCTTCAATATAGATTTCTGCTAAATCACATCGTGTCTATTGCCTAAGATGTCCCAGATGACCCATTTCACTGCAAAATGCTGAGTGTCACACCGATGCCTCATGTCAGAGTCTTTGCAAACAAAAGGATTTTTTAGAAATACAAGAACTGTTCCCTTCTCCACATCAAAACTAGATTTTAATGCTCATGCTGTCGGAGTAACATCAGATTTTTGCTGACATATATAAAACCATAGTGTGTCACAAAGATGGATATAGCACTTTTAAAACTGAACAGGAAATGATGAGAGGCACAAGACTCCAACAGGAAGAAGTTCTTAGAAACACAGCCGAAAGCCTCTCCTCGGTACCCAGGAAATTAGTCATGTACAGCATTAAAAAAAGCCTCAGACACAGATGAAGAGATGAGATGAACCACCATTTTTCATTTAGCTTTAAGCCTGCTCTTCCCAACCATTTTGACATGTGACCACTTATAATGAATCAACTGAGAAACTGGGTTTACTGGGTCTTTCCACACATGTGGAAATGTGTTAACCTAATTGCGACACAGTAACACAAAAAGGTTGTGCCATTAATGACGCAACAGCCCAGAGACACTGTTATAACTCCCACTATAGTGTCATTTAACTACATCACATAAACAATGAGTACCTTTCTACAGTTTTTCACAGGTGCTTTGGCAAATTAACTCAAAACCAAGAATTCTATGTTTGCCACTGTCAAATAGTTCACTTTCCACAACAACTCATGCATGTCAGCATCCATATGGCCAAGTCCAGAGTACACAGATGTGGCTGGAAAGTACTGTTAGCTCTACACCTCAATGAAACAATACTATGTTTGTCTTAAAAAGTGCTGAAATTATAAGCTCTTTTGTCATGAAGTTCTGCAGGCTGCTTTGCCACAGATAAAACCAAAGAAGCTGTGAACAGAGCTGAACTCTGGCTTCTACAAGGATCTCATAAATGGCTTGAATAAAAACACTGGTAGCCCTTAGAAGTGAAGATACTGCAGTCATATTTCAAGCACACTGTTGTCTTTTCTTAGCATCACCAGGCCCACCATGTGTCTTGCTCATACCTGAGAAAATATGATCTCCAAATTGCATTAGTCTGTGATCAAATCGGATTACTCTGCTTTCTGAGTAAATGTGCAGCTCTCAGACATGATCCATAACCTGCTCATTGTGTAAATCCTCACATGGTAAATACGATATCAGCTGTTACAACCTTTTAAACATAAAAGCTTCATAGGTTTCAGTAATGATACAATTTTCATTTGTAACACGCTCATCCTCAATTTTTGTAGTATGAAGATGCAACACCTCAGCCATCATTTCTCACATCACTTCTGCTGTGTTCATTTCTTACAATCAGTGTAATAAAGATGCACGTAGTCCAGGATTAACTGTCCCTCCAGCCTTCACAGACTTACCAGAACTGTGTGTACCTGGTTGGGCTACCTCGAGATACATCTCAAAAGTGGACTCCGGACTCTCCCTGGAACAGAAGACAGTTCATTAGCCTGTTCTATGCATAGTCCAAAATTGTTTCAATCTAAAATTTGCAGACTTGCCTACTATTAATACCATGCTGTTTCACTCATGTGCTGTAAGTGCTTTAACTGAATCTCTCATTTACAAAAATTATTCAGAGCCTTTTCTGTGACACTCCAAACTGTGGTCAGGTGTATTCTGTTTACACTGATCATCGCATGTGCATACACATAAGTAGTATGTGTATAAGACCCCACAGTTCACACTGCATGTCAGGACAAACACCAAGTCATGAAGTTGAAGGAACTCTCTGTAAAAACTAAACTAAACTGTGGTGAGGCACAGATCAGGTCAAGAGTATCAGAATCAGAGCAACTCCAGGTCGAGGAAAGATCATGTAAGAGACTTGGGATGTAACCCTGTTGTCATATTCAGACAGTGAGCACAGGACACTGGTCAGTTGGCCAGAGGTCTTTTGGGAAGTATATCTGTTGAACAGGGCTGTAACTGGCTAGGACATTTGTCGGTCAACTGTCTGTGTGACTATTTGTTCTTTTTTATATACTGTATGTCCTAGACTATGAGAAAATCAACTAGCATAAATTTCAGTGATGACTGACCACATTAACATCTGTATTCAAACGCATAGGAGTGACATGAACCTTTTTCTGAGCATTTAAAAATCAATAAAGACAGCTGCATATGATGCAAGATTGAAACTGAGACCTAATTAAACTGGATTTGTTTGAATAATGAGACAAGCAGCATACTTGTATTTCTGTTGAGACATGGTTATAGCCTAGTTTGAGCTTCTTTTTTCAGTTATGCAGCACCTGTTATTATGTTTTATATGTGCCAAACTGCACTACTACAGAACATAAGACTATACAGTCATGGCCAAACATATTGGCAATCCTGCATTTCTGTCCACTTCTCCCAAAAAACTGTTACAATCACAAATGCTTTGGTAATCTCTGGAGAGTGGCCAGCAAAGAGTCCAGATCAAAATCCCATAGAGCTCCTCTGGAGAGAAGCTGGGAGAATGAGCCCTTTAAATCTGAGAGACCTGGAGCAGTTGCCAATAGAAGAGTGGTCCATAATTCCAGTAGAGAGGTGGAAGAAACTCACTGATGGTTACAGGAAGTGATTGATTGTTAAGTTGAGTGTGTCAATAATTCTGTCCAGTCCATTTTTGGAGTTCTGTGTGGAATGGATGAGATTTGGCTTTTTTTCTTCAGCTTTTTGTGCTGTTCCAATATAAACAAAAGAAATAAACATGAGAATACCAAAGAATTTGTGATTGCAACAATTTTCTGGGAGAAGAGGTGTGTAACCTGACAGAAATGCAGGGGTGCCGATATTTTTGGCCATGACTGTATACTGATGCCTCCTCTGAATTATAATTCATCATTGAAATGTTTTCCCACCACATTTTTGTTAGCTTCCTAGTCCTTCTCAGATGGAGGTATTTTGCAGAAACATAACAAAGGTGGGTAAACTGAACCAATGCAAAATTGCAAAACCAGTCAAAACTGTTAGTCTTTTCTCTTGTATAAGCAGACAATAATGTTTGAAAAACACTTTTAATAAAGTACAACTCTCACCTTTGTGTGTCTTGTCCTAGTAAATTTTGTTATATTTTTCTCCTTTTTCTGGGCAGCAATTTGCTAAATAGTGTCACTGGACCCACATCCGTACATTTTACAGTGTCATCACTGAAATGGATATTCCTCCCAGAGGGAAGAATTGAGCAAATTGGTTCTTGGTGCGCCAAAATAAGGAGAATATGAAAACATAATGGAGGTCGGCACTGCCTTCTATTGTAATGCACACTTGCCGACAAAAAAATAAAATTTAATAAAACAAAGGTTCAACTAGAAGAGTCTCAGTTGACTGACAGACCTCTCGACTGTTTGACCAGTTGACTTTTTAGTACTTTATTATTTGCCTGTTAAAGTAACCTTTGGTGATCTTTGTAAAAAAGATAGGTATCACATTGTTCATGAGAAAGAAGCATGTCACTGAGTGCAGGTGGCTCGCTCGTGTGTGTTCAACAGTTTCTGGACAACACTGGAGGTCTACAGCACAGGTGGACAGCCTAATTTACAGACATTACACTGAGTACACAAAATTCTTTAGTCTCTGTACAGAATTTACGGAAAATAACCAAGACACAGAAAATCACTGGCCTTATCCTTGAAGAAAGTCATAGTTAACATAGACTGGCTGCATAAACTGTGACATTTCATCATAATACATCTTATGCTAATCCAATAACTGCCACACTGATGTTAAAGAATAAAACACTGGGGTGTTTACCAACAACAAAATCAGTTTTATGAAACACATTTGTTAATGAGCAAGATGTCCCACACAAGTTTGGGACCTTGCCATAGTCGTCCACGATATGCTGATTCTGAAAATGTCTTGTCTGCAATGTGCAAAAATTATATTACTAACAAGATTTTGACAACTTAGTGTTATTATTATTATTATTAGTAGTAGTATTACTGTCCTTGTGAAGCCAAGTTCACAGCTTCATAAAGATCAATGCATCTTTATTAAATTGTACTATTGTGATGGTGCAAAAGTGACATTAATATTACTACAACAATTGTAACTCAAACCCTGAGTAATCTCTTGTGTATACACGATAACGTGACACAAAAACAAGACCAAAATGACTTTGTTTATTTTGTGTTTAACACTAATAACAGATTAGCCGTAGCCCTACAGTATTTATATCATGTCAGAGGAGTTGAGTTGGGCTACAGGTAAACACAAATACATCTGCCAAAGGCCAGCATTTCTGTACTGAAAAGTGGAAACTAGCGCCCAGTTTAAGATGGAAATCGGTCACAGTTGTCATGTTTACACTAGCTATGCGCAGCCTAATGCTACAGAACTATGCTCCTAAATCACTACTAATGTTAGCCCTATCTGTCTCAACCTGTGCCCGAATGTTTTATCAACATGTAAATGACTAGTATACTTCAAAACCATATAAAGGTTTACATTTAAAATACACAGTTTTTTAATTCAGAACAGTACAGTGCCAGTGTTTTAACCGGTGTCGCAACAAGTCAGGGCCTGGCACTATAATGTATCTTCCAGTGACTCACTGGAACAAAGCTAACAGAGCAGCAAACTACTAACAGCCTCCAGCAAAGCAGCGGACAAACATTCTTACTTGATTCGAGACCCCATCCTTATTTCTCACACTGCCGTGGCTGGCAGCAGATTACAGTGCGCAGACGCGTCTGTCCGGAGGTGTTTTTCTAATGCTAACCTGTCACACAGACCTGTACAACGCCATGGTCTGCCTACATGCGTTAATCATGCTCTGCCTCCCGCGAAACTCTGGGACTTGTAGTTCTATTGTAGAACATGTTTATTTAAATGCAGAACAATCTAGTACTAGAAACTACAGCTCCCATACTGCATATTGTAGACGATTGGGTCGCGTGATAAGATTTTCTGCCAATGTGGCCAATATAGGTAGGTGTTATTTACTTTACCTGTAGGCTACTCTACAATAGTATAAACGTATACTTTCTGATGTTTTATTGCTGATTAATAATCAAATGTACTTAGATCAATTACTTGGAGAGGGTCAAAAGCGACCGATAAATATAAGCCTTTGGGATACTTACCTAAAAATCTTTTGCCATGACGATGATAATGGAAACGTTACATAAGGTCCTCCGAATCTCCGTTTAGTAGATATCTCTCCAAGTTAAGTAAAAGTGCCGTCAGGTGGGGAGTTTACCACAAACCCTGAAGCTGTAGACACAAGTATGGTCAATGTTTCCACAGTTTTCCTCGACCTGTGGCTTCATATATCCGAAGACGCCGTTGACCGTATGTATTCACGAAGGAGACAGCATTAATAAATACAGTCAGGTGCACCTGGTGATTGTGTGGCATACACAGTATTTACATGTTTTGAATCTGTTTTACATAGCAGCTCCACCTATATCATACAGCTAGTACAGATAAAGAAGTTAGCAGACAATTAAAATTACAGACAGGGGGTTTATACTCTGAACAACAGTTAAAGCCAGTGTCTCCCTTGTGTCCTATACAAACTGTATGTGCTGGGGTGATTTATTCATTAAGTTAGTTAGTATCACATATGTCTATGTCAATCAATCAATCAAACAAACAAACTTTATTGCCAAGTATTATTAAAACACAATGGCTCCTGATGCTCACAAATAAACAGAATAAAAATCAAATAAAAACCAGATAATATGCACACATATACAAGATTTTAAAAATTAGCTATTCAGTTTTTAAAATAATTACTGTATTGTTCGCTGCATCTTGTTATACACATAAGCATGGGTTAAGTGTCCATCAGAGTGACGGCCCAGGAGAAGAAACTGTCCTTGTGTCTGGTTGTTTTGGCTTACAGTGAACCTGTAGCACTGTCCAGAGGGGAGAAGGTCAAACAGTTTGTGTACAGGGTGTGAGGGGTCTCCAGAAATCTTCTCCGCCCTCCTTTTGACCTGTGAGGTGTACAGGTGCTCCATGCAGGGTAGCCTGGCACCGATGGTTCTTTCTGCAGTCCTGAATGTCTGTTGGAGTCTGTTCCTGTCCTCTTTGATTGCCAAACCACACAGTGATGGAAGAGCTGAGAACAGACTCAGTGATGCCTCTATAGAACTGTATCAGCAGCTTCTGGGGTAGGTTGAACTTCCTGAACTGATACAGAAGGTACATCCTCTTCTGTGCCTTCTTGTTGATGGTGCTGATATTGGACGTCCACTTCAGGAAAAATTCCCTTTAACAGAAGAAACCTCTGACAGAACCAGGCTCTTGGTGGGCAGACATCTGCTTCAACCATCTGGGGAGGGTGAACAGAGAAGAGAAAAAAAAGTACATCAAGTAACAGGAGAGGAGGGGGAGGAGAGAGGAAGAACTAGTGTTACCAACCTCTTTTGTGCGTGGCTGGATTAACTTGATTGGTTGGGGCAAAAGGTTTGCAACCTGGCATTTGTTGCTTCCTTTTAAGTTTAGGGTGACATCAAGTACACACAATAGATGACAGTCTCATTAGTTATATTTTTCACAAATATTAAAGAAGCAACCAGTACAGCTACACGGGAAGGCTAATTACCTCTAGGTTTTCTATGTCACATTGTGGTAAGATAATGAAACACAACTTTATCTAGGAAAAGGCATCATGCGAGCACTCTTCTTCAAAATAGGGCCACAACAAAAAATATTTAATAGAGCAGGATCCAGCTGTTATTTATAGTAACTGATGCAGATTTCCACATACATTTGCAATTAATCCAGTTACCAAAAACTACTACCACACAGTGAAACTGCACCTTCTTTAAAAAAATGTGCAGATGCCACCTTTGCCCAGTTGATAATCCACCATTGTTCTTGTTTTTGGTGTCCAGTTTAAAAGTTGATAAATCCTTAAAATTTGCAGTTGAAACATTTGAAACAGATGCAGTACTGGAAACTGTTACATGTGAAGAGGCAGTGGAAAATGGTTTCTCAAAGAAGCTGAAATGTCCTTTACAATGGAAGTGCTAAAAAACTATCACTGAAGAAAGATGAAGTGTCAGTTTAAGATGAGTATTGGTTGGTTTTCAAGCACTGTGTCAGTTGAAGTAGGTGTTGTGAAAGAAATTAATACCAGTTCAAGCATATAAACTGAAGGAAAAACAAATGTATCAACATCAGCAGGTATAGGTATACAGAAGTATTGGGTGAAATTATCCCACTCACCAAAGAAAGGCTGTAATCACAATCTTAAAGATCCACCTCTATAAATAAGTACTATCTGACTCCCTGCATCATCTCCTTCCGTACAGCTTCAGATACCGGAGGTTTGTTTCCAGCAGCAGCTCAACCAGCTCAACACCATGGGCTTCATCAACCGTGAAGCCAACCTGCGGGCCCTCATCATTCGAGAGACTGCTGGCCTAATATGTTTTCCACGAGTCTTAGTTCATCTTAGCTAGTTGATCTTTATTCCTTCAGTTAAGTTTTACCCTGACAGATTCTAAATGCTTTGTATTTTCTTTCCTAAAACCTTCCTTAGAAATGCATGTAGTAATGTCCACCTGATTAGAGATGATAACAAATCATTTCACAATAATGTAGCTGTATATTTCCATACAAGCATTTTAGTTTCTAAATATAACTGTTGGAATCTGCTATATATCGCAAAATTATCTGTGAAGTGTATTGTTCTGTGTTTACCTAAGTTGTCTTTTGTTCAGTTGAATAATTTGTTATTTTTATTTGTTAAATTATTTTAATATTTATTGTTTGTTTTTTTATGTGGTCTTATTTCATATGTTATGTTTTTTTTTATTGCTGTACCGACTGGAGGTCACTCTAAAATTTCATTGTACATGTTACAATGCCAATAAAGGATTATCTTATCTACTGCTTTTAATTCACACTACTGTAGCGGTAGTGTGAATTAAAAGCAGTAGCAGTCAGGAGCTCAAAATGTAAGGAAATATCTCTGATGGCAGTCTTAGAGATAAAAAAGAGAAAATAATATAGTGAAATGTAGTTTACAGAAACAGCTTCTTGTTGGTGACTGTCTGTGCAGTGTGTGTTTATTTTCTATTGATGTCATCTTCTCTCTCTTTTCTCCAGGGTCGGACTGGACAGAGGGGCCACACTGGTCAGACAGGCCCATTGGTAAACTTTCCTGTCAAGCCTGCCAAAAATGATTTGAAATGATTTGAGTTTATGCTGACATAAACTCAGACTGTTCTAGATAAATCTGAAACTGCCCTCTGTACTCAACTGTTCTGACTTCTCAGATTTTTTATTTTAAAATGGCCACTTTTTGAAAATATCTAATACAGAAAAAGACTTAATATAAACAGTGTTTTTTTGTGTGTCTGTGTGTTTTTGTTCAATACATCCCAGGGTTTTCCGGGCATACCTGGACCACAGGGAGTAGAAGGAAAGCCTGGTACACAGGTTCCCATTCTCTATCATATTTCAATCCCATCACCTGTTAATACTGTTCTGTGTGTGTGTGTGTGTGTGTGTGTGTGTGTGTGTGTGTGTGTGTGTGTGTGGTCTACTTCCTGCCACCCTCCTGTATCTGCATTTATTTTTCTGTGAATCATTTTATTTATTTACTTATTTGACCTTATTTCACATACAATTCATTACCTGGTTTTAGTCCCAGTCTTGTCTTTTAGAAGGTACGTTACTAAATCCGGTGATGATTGACAGACAATGCACATAATCATACGCCTGCTTTAAAAATGCTTCTCTGAATACACAGTTATAAAGCTGTTGGTTGCAGGTTTTAAGGATTGATAAACTAAAATGTGAAAGTTTCCTAAAAATATCAACACTGACTCTGCAGTTGAAATGTTACCTTTGTGTTGTAATTGTTGGTTTAGACAGTGGGAGGCAGTCTTTGTGCGGTTGTAGTAAGTGGTGAGCTGCCATGGTGCAGAGTTCATGCTGGATCTCTCTGTTTCCTTTATTTATCACAGTGTTTCATCTGAGGATGAAAGAAAGCACATTACTTGTTTGTCAAATTTGATTCTAACAGAAGGCAAAGCTGAAAAAGGCTTCACCTTCATGATGAATCTTACAGTATGTCTGTCACTTTTGAGAAAATGTGTAGCAACATATGATAAAAGACTGAATCAGATGCTGAGTTGATACCTTGGTTGTTTTTGTTTGTAGGTTTTGTTTCTTTGCCTCTGTCAGCTGCAGGGAAGAAAACTGCATTGTTGGTATTTTCTCTGTCCTCAGGGTCTCTTGGGTGCAGCTGGAAGAGTCGGCAGTAAAGGACAGACGGTAACGCTTTTAGCTGCAGGATGACTTTGATGCTCGATTCATGACATCATCATTCCAGATTGGCTCTTTACCACAGGCAGCACGGTTCAGCTGAATGCAAGCTCATTATTAGAGTTTTACAAGATGGCCTCAGATCAAATTATGGAGGATTTTATAGATTCATGAGAAGGTAAACAGCAAAAGTGCCAAAGAAACGTTTTAACAAGACATGACAGACCCTGCCACAGCCAGTTAGACATATGGTATCAGGTGTGTCGACTAAAAGTATTAGGAGTGGGAGTTCATCAGAGCTAATAAAAACACAGTACTGTGTTATGTATGTATGTGTCACACACATGCTTAAAAATGCCTTATAGACACTAACATTGCAGCTATTGTGATTGTTGAACATGTCATTCAATGTTATGGGCAAAATATCACTGAATGTTGTAGCATTAAGATTTTCGATAAGTAAAATTAAGGGGCCAAAACCAATCCCAGTCCAAATATTTTGTGTTTAGTGTTAAAACTTTAAATCTTCTGAGAAAACTGGACTGAAAAACTCCAGATGTACTGTTGCTTACGACAGGTTCTGTAATACCAAATTTACAGCCACCACGGCATTAATTACTGGAGTTAACAAAGTCAAATGCAGAGTGTTAAAGAGTCTTAACTTTTAATTACCAATATATTACCCATAATGACATTTAGGGAGTAGCCTTGTGAATGTCATTAAATAAAATGGCCATTAAATAATTAAATAGCAGATTTGGAAACTAGTGGAATACTGAATCAACTCATTTAAAGCTGTTGTTCAACAGCTCAATGCATATCTGTTAATCGGAAGAAATACAAAACAGTTTGTTTCACAGTTGCATTGTCATGTTTTATCTCATTCCACTCTGGCCCTTTTCAGTATCTGTGACTTTTTGTTTTCTTTGCAAGCATTCATTGATCTGTGAACAGCACTAAACCTGCACTGTTGTTTATGTTGCTTATGCTGCCTTTTCAGGGTTTTCATGGAATTTCTGGAGAGAGAGGAACAGATGGCCCGCGAGGTTCTCCGGTACATTTCATTGTCATTCTGTGGCTTTGCCATTTGGAAGACAGAGGGCTTAAAGACTGTAACAGCTGTATAAAACAGGTTTTCAGAGATGAGGCAGCCATGTGGAAGTTTGTTGGAGATGAGCGCACACAGTGCAGCGTATAGCCTGAGACACAGCAGCTGGGTGAATGTAAATCTGTTTTGTGTCACTAGTATTTAAAACAAGTTGAAAAACTAAAGACCTAAGAGAAACTGAGTTAAAATAAACATCATGGTGAAAGCAGTCTTCTAATCAAACCTCTGACCAGACAGCAAACAAACCTTTTTCATAAAATGTCTTTTTTCAAACCTCTGACCAGACAGCAAACAAACATTTTTCATAAAATGTCTTAATGTGCATTTAATCAGTGGCATCTTTGTAGTCACAATTAATGGTGTTTAGGTGAGTGGAACATGATTGGCTGAACAGCTAAACAGTTGTATTCAGTGGTACTTCGACCCTTCAGTGATGGAGGTTTTCATTTTTATCCAATAGGGGCCACAAGGGAAAACAGGACCCCCAGGCTCACCAGCACCCCCAGGAGACAGGGTCAGTCTACAGGCATAGTCGTGACCCCAGTACATCAGCACATGCGGATACAGTATTTGTTATACTGTATGTGTGTATTTTGTCATTATGTGTTTTGTGTGTGTTTTCTCAGGGTTTCTCGGGAAATCCAGGTATGGAGGGACCACAGGGCTCAGTAGGCATGTATGTAAGTGATACTTGAGCAGGGCAGATACAGGGAATGCACCTGTACTATTTCTTCAGAGCATACTATGTATATACAGTACATGAACAGTGTATTGTATCATTGCACATTTATAATTTACATATTTGCTCAAGCATTGGTTATGGGTCATTGACAAAATGATCAAGATTGAGAACAGCAATGTGTGCAGATGAGCTGGTAAAATCTCCTGAAACAGTGCTGTGAGATTTTCATAATTCTCGCTTAAGCCCATTAAACACTACAAACAACATGGTCCGTCTGTAATACGTGACCGCACAGTCTTACTTCTTATCTGTATTTTTAACTGGTGGATATGAAATTTTAGAATGGGTTCACTGGAGAACTGAGCATTTACCAAACCAATATGAAGTGGAATGCATGTCAGGTTTAGACTCACCATTTTCCCATAGGAGGAAGTAGATTTTAATAGATTTTCATGCCTCCATACAGTCACGGTTTAGTGAGAACATCACAGCTGCTCTCTGTAGTAAATATGGAACAAAATTAGCTTATCTTAACATAAAGACTAAAATAGACTGAAACCCCTGACCTGGCTCTGTGCAAAGGTAAAAAAGTTCTGCTCTAACTTCGTATTAAACACACAGGCATAAGAGTAGTATTGATCTTCTCATCCAATTTCCAAGAAAGCAATTAAGCATATTTTCAAAAAACTGAACTACTCCTATATATTTCACATTATATTTTTTGCCCGTTTTATTCTTAATTTTTTTGTTAGTTTTTCATTAGTCCCATTTAAATGCTGATTAAAAAAAACATCATACCCATAGTCTGTGTTGTACATAAACTGTTACACTCAATACACTTTTCTTTTTCAGAATACCTTATAATCTGAAATGTTGTCTGGTGTTGGATGAGCCTTTGTGACATTCTTTCATTTGCTGTTTCTCCTACCATCAGGGCGTCCAGGGGAGCATGGGCATGCGCGGGCCTCCAGGTTTCATAGGAGAACGGGTAAGGTCACCTTTCTCGTACAGTGATGATGCATTTTGGGAGTGGTGGCAGGTTAGCTTTGTTGGTTTCCAAAAGAAACAGGAGGGGCACCCTAAACATGTTGATGCACATGTGAACCATAAAGGAAAGTAAATGATCCAGAGGATGAAAAGTCATTTTTTGAAAAATGGCAGGATTATCTTGGAATCAGGATACTGATATTGATATTCAGACACTAACATTTCTGATGATGTAGGTAAAGATATTTTAAGCCCTACAATTAAAGCTGGTAAAATCCCTCCATAAGCAAAAATGCCACAATGACGTCTTTTTCTTCTGCACCAGGGTGAGCCAGGTCTACGAGGTTTACCTGGGCCTGTTGGGAAGCCAGGGCCTGCAGTAAGTCTGTAGTTTATTTTTGTTTCTTATTTCCTATGTTTGGACCCCTGGGATGATAGGAGAGGAGAACTGAGTACTGTTCAGAGGACTTGATTAAGACAGTAGTTATGATGGGACCACACCAAGGAGGGTTTGATAAATAGACCAGTGATGTGTGCAGCAGGTGTGCATCAACTACCAGCAGGTCACAGTGATTGATTTTGCAGGGGGCACTGGTGGCAAATTTAATGGCAGAGTGAAATATAATAGAGCACAAACAAGTCTTGTCGGTCCCGGTCCTCGAGCTTGCCCCCTGCAATCCAGACAGCGACAGGAGAAATCCTCTATAAACAAGCAAAGTACCAGCCATACAATACAGTTTTTGGCAATGCAGTAGAAAAACTAGTGCTGAATGATGGCATGAGTTTAACAATGCCTTCCATATAATGCATCTTCACAGTTGGTTGTCAGGGGGATTTACAAGTCTAGTTTAATTCCTAGTTAAATGCAGTTGAAAAGAGTGTTATCAAAGCCTAGCCCCTGTGTGACCCTCCCTGCACCAACTCCAGCTACACTAGTTAGCAACCCTGGATCAATCGAGCATTAAAAACTGGAGTGCTGTGGACTTCATACTAAAAAAGAAGCCCAAGAATTGCTTGTAAAGCAATGTATTCATTTACAGAATGAATACTCAACAGTTTTTTTGTTTGTTTGTCTCATTGTTCATAATTTTTGGTTGTGGCCCCAAAAAAAGGTCTTAAATTCACTTGATGAGCAGAAACCCAGTTAAAGAACTCAGCAGAAGATTCATAAAGGCCCTGGACCAGACAGTAATTCTGACTTGATCTGATATTCATCAATTAGACCTCACTGAATCCTAAGCAATCAACAATAATATTATCCTTATAAGCCGAAAAGTCATTTAATGTAGTCAGCTGGAAGTTTATGTTCAGCACAACAAACTGATATACCGACTGGATTACACTTAATGCAGCACCAAGAGATAAGAGAGATGTGTTTGTTTCCAGGAATTCTCCACAGGGTACATTACATCGTAGCCTATATAAATTTCAAAGTATCCAGGTGCATATAAAGTAAATAGCATACAGTATAAATCCCCTTTAGTTACATTGCAAACAGACATTTTGCTGCTGTTTGTGGTTCATTTGAATCATCACTTCTTTACTAGATTGTGTTATTTCTCATGTCATTGTGTTCCTTGACCAATAATATATATTTTTCTTACACAGCAATTGTCACAATGTTGAAAGACAAGAATGCAAGTTATGATATTTTTAGAGCTTAAATAATCAGTCTGGATGTGCTTTGTCTTCTTTGCTCTGATAGAAGTGAGCTGTGGTTGTGATTAACATGTTTTGTCTTCGTATTTCTTTTTCAGGGTGCCTCAGGTCCTCCTGGAGAAAAGGGACCCTGGGGACCTCAGGTGAGAGAAATCTTTAAGCACAGAGTTTTTGCCCCAGCTCCAAAATAATAAATATTTAGCTTCACCCACACATTGCTGATGGACTTAAACTGTAATCATGACAGCACTACCTGCAGTGGAAATTCATTTGGTAAAACCAGCACAGGAAGCATAATGTATAATATTGTACATACAAGTTAGCAAACATTTGCAGATAATTTATCTCCTCTTCCATTGATGCTCAAAACATAAACAACAGTACAGGTTTAGTGCTGTTCACAGATCATTGATGCACATGTAGACTAATACACCTGTTGCCAAATGGTATTGTATGTTTGTTCTTTTGGAAAACATTCTCTCTGCTTTGAGCTTTTTAAGCTAGCTTTATCATTAGCTTTATACTCATTGTAGCTTTTTATTGGGATTCTGAACAGTGGTGCTCGCATTGAACACTAAAACTCAGGAAGTATGCGGAAGTTTGGGGTCATGGCAGCTGCTCACAAGAGTTTGGTGGAAATGTATTCATTGCTGTTTATGGGACTATTTGGTAGTGTATTATGTCAGAAATGGTATAGCGTACAGTCCCTCAGGGCTAGCGTTAAAGATTAGTAGACACCTAAAAGCTGTACATCAGGTTAATCACTCATTTACTAATGAAGTTTCCCAATCAACAAGCAACACACTGTAAGTGGAAATTGTGTTGTTTTTCACAGGGTCGACCTGGAGGCAAAGGGCCCAAAGGGATACAGGGCCCACCAGTAAGTTACAGTTTGAAGTTGGGCAGATGCATATCAGGTTCACAGGACTGCCATTACACAGTGACACACCATTGCATGTTACAGAGCTTTGCATGTGGATTTAAGTGGCATTTCACTGCAACTGGATGCACATAGATGGTCCCTTTGTTTTTGCTTTGGCTTGGTAATGTGACTCATCATAAAGAGAGAGGATGCTCACAGCAGGATGGTGTGCTTGTAATTATCTATCAGCCAGGTTCAGACATCACCAGGATTTGTTCTGGAGCTGCTTACCTGTCCGGAGGATGAAAGTTACAAGTTTCAGTGCACATAAAAAGTTCATGCATATTCCCACATCAACAAATAAGACTTAACATATTCATGAAGTTCCTTTGAATTAGGATTACACTCATGCCTCACACACAGTGAAAGATAGAAAACATAATTACTTAACCTATGAGAAAACATCAGTGTCAATTTGTCTCTCACAGTCCCTGAACCAATCATCTCAAACTCCCTCAGCGAGTATCCAAGAGAGTCGGCCCCAAGTCATGCTTGTCTACATTTTGCTGCTGCTCTCTCAAAGCCAATTAGAACATCCCATAGAGTAGCTAAGCTTGATGCAAAGATGATAAGAGCAAGTCACAGAAGTGCAATCAATCAAGCAGGAGATAAAACTAATCACATCTGTCTCCCTGCTGTAGCTTCATCTTGAGGGAGTCAAACTTCTCCTGTGTTCTCTAATATCAACTTGAAATATTTGACATAACAAGGTGCCTTATTATTGTAGATGAGCACACACACACAAGTAATGTACATACAGTAAGATAGCATGTTAACATAATGCCTGAAAGCTGTATTTTAAGTGACTGATTTATTTCAACTTCATCAACGTTGTGTGAATATAATCTATAGTCTGTCGGTGTGATTTTATTATGACATACAAAGTAATAAATCAGATTTTCCACAACATGTGCCACTGATTTATTTGTTTGCACGTGCACTTACATGCATGTCCAATCCATCTGTCAGTTGCCTCGTAAAATTGACTGAATGTCACCGACAAACTTCACACAGGAATGACACAATGACTCTTGAATTTACCCTCAGGAGAGTCTGAATTATCTTGAAACTCACTTGTGACATTCAAGTTAAATCAAATCTATTTACATTATTCTGACATGTAATAAGCATTTAAAGATTGAGCTTTATTCTAACAGTTGGTGTGTAATTTCTAGGGCCCTCCAGGTGTCCCAGGACCTGATGGGGCAACTGGAAAACCTGGACCCAGGGGAAGCATAGGGCCACCAGGACTCCAGGGGCCACAGGGCCCAGCAGGCATCCCAGTATCTGACTGCAGTTTTTCTTTCTCACCTGTAGTCTGAAAAGATGAAAATGTTTTCACTGAGTCTTTAAGTATCTGAGCACCTCAGTGACCTGTCACAACATAAAAACCTAACACATAAAAAGTGTACAAGCTGCTGTACCTGACCAACATGTTTGTTGGATCTGTTCAGGGCCCACAGGGTGCTGATGGGTCGTTAGGAGCAGCAGGGGAGAGAGGACCCAAGGTACACTGCACTACATACAGTACACAGGAATAATAATCACATAATAGCAATGTTTTTTGTTTTTGTAACCTTCATGTATATTTAATTTTTAAACTTGCACTGTGACCTCCAGGGTGTACCTGGTTCTCCTGGTGATCCTGGTCCCACAGGACAAGATGGACAGCAGGTTGGTGTAATGTTGTTGTTAAGCAAACAAATCAGTTTCTTTTATTTATCTGATTTTTGAAATAAACTACATCTAAAATATATCTGACTCTACCCTAGCTAATCAAGTGTCCTTTGATTGTAAACATAATAAAATAAGGGTTTGGAATAAAGTTGCTTTAAAGAACAATAAATACTCAGAAAACATTCAGTTATAAAAACACAAAATTAAATGGGTGGACTCAAAACAACATATTGACATACTTTGAACCACTTGTGACACTTTCATTGTGAAGCACTGCTTTGGGGTTTGTATCAAAGTGGCCAAGTCACATGATTGTTTCACAATGATTTATGAAAGGTTTCATATTTTGGTGGTTCATCACTACGGGCCAATGGAACATACAACTGCTGATCTTGAGTCAGTTGATCCAATTGACAGTTACGCTAACTGAATAACAAAGTTTGGGCTGATCCCCAGTCGGTGATTCCTGTTACTTGTAGATCATCAGATGTGCCACGTCCCATTAACACAATAAAAGTCCATGAAAATGGTCAGATTTTATGGAGTTTTGTGTTGAAGAGAGAGAGATGCATGTGATATTTGGAGAAGTTGATTTGGATAATGGAGGGAGCAAGAAAAAGAACAAGGTCACTTGTGTGCGAGCATTTTGAGATTTTGCAGCCCAATTTAGTCAAATGTAACATTTGTAACCAACATCTGGCATTTCCTAACAACACATCATCAGTGTTAAGACACATCCAAGTATCCAAAGGCTTTTAAACAATGGGCCTACAGCAGGGACAAAAAAGTTAAACCCTCCCTAATCTACAGCCCCAGTCACAAGCGCTCCCCATCAGAGATCATGGGCCTACTTTCTACAAACACAGTTTTGTTGAAAATGTATAGCCATTTTGAAGGTATATGGCAATAAATGCCTTCTTATATATGACGCATATTTATAAATAGAACCTAACATTTATTGTCGTCACACAGTTTCTATTGTATTTACAGGCTTTTGGCCGGTAGATGTCGCCAGCGTGACTGATTCAAATGTTTCAAAACAACCGACCATTTTCCGAAACAATTGGTTCAGTTGATTCAAAGATTCAGAAAGCCTTGTTTCTGCCATCACTACCACTCAGCATGAGCCATGAATGTCATAAATGACATTTTAGACCTATTCAGGATTCTACAGGCATCTTTTGTGAAGAAACTCTGCCTGATAATCCTTTTATATTTTGAGATATGACATCAGGAAAAAAAGAGTAAATAAGATGATGGCACATTTACACATTACAAAGAGAATTTTAAATTTTACTAGTTTATTCTTCTGCATTCCGCTGGTTAATAGGACCACAGAGGATATTTTACTAATGATTGTTTTGACTTCTGGCTCATCAGGGTCTGCCTGGCCAAACAGGAAATGAGGGTCCACCTGGACGGAAGGGAGACCAGGTCAGCGATCACAGCAGCAACATTCCTCAGTTTTTGCATTACTGTTTGTTTTCAACACCGGCTTCTTAAAAGTACATTTATTTTATACAGCAAGAATCCATGTTGACTTTGTTTCTTGTTGTGTAACAGTCTGCAGCCTCAGGTTTGGGTGAACATAACTGTCTGACACCTGACCATTTACTAGCATTGAAAAGCCTACAGTCGTGTACCTCATCTGATTTCTTGTCTACCTTTGTTGTCATATTTGACAGGGGGACTTAGGGCCTTGTGGGAAACCTGGTCTTCCAGGTCCCCCAGGAGAGAGAGGACTGGAGGGGCCAAAAGGCTTAGAGGGACCACCTGGACCAATGGGTAAAGAGGTAGGTGCAAAAATGATGTTCATTTGACACATTAAACACGTTCAGCTGCTGTCTCATACAGGAGGTGACAGAACAGCTCAACCGGAGATTCTTTAATTCAGTGAAGAACCTAAGGGCCTCATTGCATCACCGTCACCTCCATGTTTTACTCATTTTGTCACACAAACAGCCAGTCCAGGATGGCTTGAAAAGTGTTAATCCACTATCACTGTTACATAAACCATGAAATTAAATTTTCCTGATGATGCGACAGTGGTAGTGCTTAACTCAGCACTGAGCTGGCAGAGAGTTTGCATGGCTTGTAATTTCTGTGAAACCTTCAGCAGACGCACCCTCACTCAGCTTGATGAATCGTGCTGCACAGCCTGTACATTTATCCTCCACCCTGAAGCATCTGAAAACAAAAAGCTACACAGCTCTATAATATTTTCTGGTCATCCTTGTGTTATCACTATTTATGAAGTCCAATAGAAAGTCACACTGCAAATTGTAAAAGCAAATTTATCACCCCTAGAGTTAAAATGAACACTTTCCTGGTGTTTATATGGGAACTCAGGGATCTGGAGTCAATCCCAGCAGACACTGGGCAAGAAGCAGGGTCCACCCTGGACAGGTTGCCAGTTTATCACAGGGCTGACATGTAGACAAACAACCACACAAACGGGCAATTTAGAATCACCAATAAACCTAAGCTGCATGTCTTTGGGCTGTGGGAGGAAGCCAGAGCACCCGGAGAGAACCCATGCAGGCACAGGGAGAACATGCAAACTTCCCAAAGAGAGGCCCCAGGTTGGCCCGGGCTCGAACCCAGAACCTTCTTACTGTGAAGTGAGGTGACAGCGCTAACCACCGTGTTAGATAAAAACTCTCAGTGTAAAACTTTAACACCAAAATGGATAACAAAAATGTTAAGTCCATGTTCAAAGTCCCCTCAGAGACACTCGTGGAGAAAATAATCTGTGCTACACGGGATAAGACAACCACTCATCCCCAGGCTTCTGTTAAATTCTCCTCTGCAGGGTGAAGTTGGGCTTCCTGGAGAAGCTGGAGATCTCGGGCCCAAAGGGGAGAAGGTAAAGGGGATTTCTTCACTTTAGTTTGTTGAAGGTGTATGTGCAGTGTAAGTTAAAGTATGTCCTGTTCATTCATCACTGTTGGCAGGGTGAGTTGGGACCTCTAGGCGTATCTGGACGAGAAGGCCCTTGGGGAACTGTTGGAGAAAATGGACAAAGGGGACCTAAGGGGGAGAAGGGCCCCATTGAAATACAATGAATCTCCCAGTTCCAATCGACAGGCCAAAGTGAGACTTGAAAAATTCCAGCTGAAATATATGTTTTTACTTCGACCTAATCAAAACTTTAGATTAGAGTGAAAGAGCAATGCTATTCTGTGTATATTTATTCATTTGGAAAGCTTTGAAAAGTCAAATGTGCCATGCCCAGCTGCCTTGTCAAAATGGTGGCAGCAAGTTGCATTTTAATAACAGAGTGGTACCAGGACCAGGACGGGCTGATCAGCCAGAGAGATGAGAACAAATACAAACTGTTCCTGATGTCACACACATCCTCTTGAACAGGGTGAACCTGGGCTGATGGGTGAAATGGGACCTGCAGGTCTGGCAGGGATACAGGTGAGTTTGTTATTAGGATGTATTGATGCTCTTGAATAGATGATGTTCAGAGTTGCCTTTAAATTAATTTATTGAACAGTTCATCATTGTGATTGACATTTATTGATCCATCTGGGGTTTGGCTTTTATTATTATTGTTGTCTCCACACATGCTCCAACTGATTTTAATATGTGTTTGCTGATTTTAGGGATCCACAGGCTCTCAGGGACCCCGAGGACCAGATGGACCTCAGGGACAGAAGGTTAAAAACCAATTTAACACAGTGCTGCCATAGACTCATAAAGCTCTTAATAACTGTACAATCAATCAGCCCAAATAATTTCAAGATAAGATTGTTTTGGGTTGCAATCAATTTCACCTCTTCATGCCTACGCACAAGCGATAGCCGTGGCTGGAGGCAGAGAATGTTTTGGGATTGTACGGCTCATTCTCATGAACATGAGATCTCAGGAATTCCCTAAGGGAATTCAGTGTTTCCCCCTGCCAATGGAACCTCCTGTCCCCCAGAAGGAAAGGCACAAAGCAGGGGTGTCTTGTACGCATTTCACTGTCCTGGGCTGTGACCGATATTCTCTCGTGTCCCTACCAAGGGTGTGGCTTATCCATGCTTACAGCTAAGTCAAGGATCAAGTTTGATTGTCAGTAACCCAGGCTGGAGACATGCATTCAGTGCAGCATCAAAGGCTTTCATCAAAGGAAAATCAACTTTCAGTGCTGTCACTGAACCTACCACTACCGTACCTGAGCCCTGAAGCAGTAGCCAGGATGCTTCTAGCTCCTGGAAGCTAGCTCTGCCCCGTGCACTGCCACAGTTTCACACTCAAGGATGAACTGATCAAACTTTGGTGATCGAAGGCCAGGGTCACAGTGACTTCATTTCTGTGTCATTCCTGTGGATTTGACTTGTTGACAGAGGCATACAACTGTGAAGAAATAATTCTGTTTTTTTCTTTTTTCCATTTGGGTCTGGGTTTAGGGAGCACAGCCACAGGTGTGTTTCAAACTGAGTAAATTGTATTTATAAAAAAAAGACAACTTAATTTTCACATGTACTTAAAAACAGCAGGCTACAAGGCAAAATTTTCGTGCAGTTACAGTGTGTCTGTTGTGTTTCTAACTTACTCTGCATATTTACCTCTTGTTTAAAGTGGAAAAAGAATCATTCTACCCAAGTATAAGAAAAAACTTTCCAAGAGTAACCTTGTCAGTTTGACAGGTACTCCAGGCTTTCACTGTGGCAAACATTATAATCTCAGTAATCACCTAATTGGACGGACCCCACCACCACCTCCTGCAAGGAACACATATTACTCTTTGTAATACATCTTCTTTTTTATACATCACCTGCAGTGCTCTGCCTGAATCTAATCATTTAAATATAGAAGAAATGTCAGTGGAAAAACATTAAAAGGTTTTCATCCATTCATCCAGGGAGAGTCTGGGCCATTAGGAATTAATGGACCTCCAGGGTCTGGTGGCCCTCAGGTAAACTCCAGTTTCATTTGGCAGTTTGGACGACACTATACATACAGCATGTCTGTGGAAAGCCGTCCATTTTACTCTCTATGGTCTTGTTCATAGGGAATAAAGGGAGCACGTGGTGTCAGAGGAGACGCAGGGAGGCTGGGACCACCTGTAAGTGTCCTCGTCTGTCAGGAAGTTGTACAATTTTCTTAGCAAATTACTGCATTCAAATAAATATTTCATCTATTGTACTGAAGTTTTCCTCACAGTCTACACCTCTCCAGATTGTATACATGCATCCCGTGTGTGTTTGTGAGGGTCTATATTAGCAGCATTGTAGTTTTGTTAAATTGCCATTGCCATGTTGTAGTGAAAATGTAATTTTGTAATGTTTGTATGGCAGGGTTTAGTAGGACAAGCTGGGCCTCCAGCAGACCAGGGAGCTAAAGGAAAATCAGGGCCACAGGGATTGAAGGGAGAGCCAGGACCTCCAGGCCTACCAGGGGAACAGGTTCGTGTGGTTTTCATGCTATTTGTATCTACTGTATGACAATTAAAAATCAACTGAGCATGACCTCCATGGATTTGAATTTGTGCAGGTATCCATAAAAGTGCCTCATTTATAATATATACAGTGGGTACGGAAAGTATTCAGACCCCCTTAAAATTTTCACTCTTTGTTATATTGCAGCCATATGCTAAAATCATTTCAGTTCA